ACATTAATGCATCAATTCTATACACATTATCCGTTATATTTATAGAGCAAACAAGACTTATTTTGAAGTGTAGACTCAGAATATTTCCTGCTGTTTCAGTTAGGATAATTTTAAAAGAAGTTTTTGATTTTATTGATTGTCTGCAATTTATTTTTTGATGTTTTGTCGACAGGAAATAAAGCAGGTAAGTGTTTAGACTGGAGAGATCACAAAGATTTTCATATTTCTACTCTTCACATTGTATAGAAAACAATGTTAATCATTTAAAGAATTAAATCACTTAAAGAAATCTTTAACAGATTCATGACTGTACATCTTTAAGTTTATATCAACATATGTAATTTCATCACAGAATATGGTATTTTAAAGTGTTTATAAACTATTTAACATGCATATTAAATAATAATATGCATAAATATTAGATAAGTTCTTTTCCAGTGCAATCTGGTTCTGTGAAATCTTTTTACATGGCAACACTTATACATATATATTTGAATTCTAGCCTTTAAAAAAAAAAAAAAAAAAAAAAAGAAAAAAAAATTAAATGCGAAAATGTGATCAACAAAATCTCATCTACCATACTGAAAACATCCAGTTCTTGATAATGATTGAGACTGTCAAAGGTATTTTAAAAGAGACAGAACAGAACAAACTTTGGACAAAATATTAATTTTAATTTAAACATGCAACTTTTATTCAAAAATTGGAAAACTACAATAAGAAATTAAACAAACAGATCATATCAGTTTAAATAATAAACAACATTATTATAAATAGAATTATAATAAAATAATTCCATATGTCAAAAAATGCTTTTGTTTTCATGATGAATTTATCTTTTTTTATAGTTTTTATTAAATTCCGTAATGAGCTTATGCTAAATTTTGGAGTAATGAACTAATTTGAAATGAAAATTAACTCAGTCTATATTTGTAGTATTTTTTTTGTTTTAACTCTACAATTTCAGAAAGCATTACATTGCAGGTCATCATTTGTAGCTAACATTTTTAATGAGATGTTTCTGTATTCTGACTTGAATACAAATTGTAAACTTTGCAAGAGGAGACTCTCTCAGATCCACATGGCCAAATCTATTTTTCTGACAAATAGGTTAAAATTAATCATTATAGAAAAACCAGTAACTAGATTTTATTCATCAAAGAAGAGAATTGATTGACAGGCTAATCAGAATTTTCATGCATAAATACTTTCTTAATCACTTAAAAGGTTTGTATATTCTCATATATAAAGAACATTTATAATTGATATTTGCTGTCTTTTCTAGTTTTCTCAATGATTTGATCTTGCACTATGGTCAAATGAATGACTTTTTATTAATAAACATTTTTTTCTTTCTTTATGCATTTCATAATTTTAGAAGTTAAAAGTAACTTCCAAAATGTAGTGAAATTAAAAGAAAAATAAAAGATTTTATAAAAAAAAAATACAGTCATTAATGGCATCTCAAATATACACTATTGCATTTGACCATAGTTGCAAATTCATCTCATTGAGAAAACTAGAAAAAAAAGTGAATATTCAATTAAATTTCTTTTTGAATCTATTCACATGAAACAGGATTTCAGATGGATTAAGAAATGTAATTATGCATGAAAATTTGAAAAGCCTTTTCAATTCTCTTCTTTGATGAATAAAATCTAGTTTGGTTTTTCTCTATATATTAATAACATTTGTCAGAAAAATATTTGGCCATATATCTATAGAGAGTATATATATAAAACTTTACAATTTGTATCTCTCAGAATATATAAATATCTATATATAAAAATGTTAGCTCTCTGACCTGCAATGTAATGCTTTCTGAAATTGTAAAGTTAAAACAAAAAAAAATACTACAAATATAGACTGAGTTAATTTTCATTTTAAATTAGTTCATTACACCAAAATTTAGCATAAGCTCATTACAGAATTTAATAAAAACTATAAAAAGAAAAGATGAATTCATCATGAAAACAAAAGCATTTTTTGACATATGGAATTATTTTATTATAATTCTATTTATAATAACATTGTTTATTATAAATGAACTTATCAAAGTAAATGAATTAAATACAAAAATAGGAGAGAATACTTGTAAAATATTTACTTTCATTAGATTTCTTTTTAGATCCTTTTATGAAAAACGCATTTTGTTTTTTTAGAAGATATTTTGCCATTTATTTTGGCATATTCTCATTCAGAAGAGTGAATAGGTTATAAATATGATATTTTAGTCAGTCTAGGAAATTTATTTTTAATTTCTTCCATTTGATTTTAAAAGTCTGGCTCAGAGACACAGTAAAAAGTCCAGAAAAGAAATATTTTTTCATCAAATGAAAATGAACATCATACACTCAGATTAAATTTATATAAAGATTTTGTTACATACAATTCACTCCTGTGTAGAGAATTCATGTTCTCAGTAAATGTTATAACTTGCTCACAAAACAGCCGACATTTTTTTTTTTTTTTTTTTACAAAAAAAGAAAAAAATTACTACCAATATGCTTTCTATTTATTTATATTTTGTCTTCCTATAAAATTATAAAATATATTTTATCTCCTGACTTCTTTACAACAGATGTACTTTTATTTTTTTCTATTTTTCAATATCAAGACCTTACATAAAAGCTACTATTCTAAAACATGGGTGGAGGCAAGGAACAAAAGTGGTCTTTGAATAATCTTTAAAGGATTCCATGAATTATGTACATGTTTGTAGAATGAAACTTTAAAAATTCAAGTCTGCAGGACAAAACTCCTGTTTTGTCAGAATGTCCTTTATCAAAAAAAAAGATCCACCTTTCTAAATGTTTCCTGACCAATGACATTATTATTATTTTGATTACTTACTCCAAATGATAATGTCATCTTGATGTAAATCTAAATATAAGTTGTGGATTCATAAATACTATCTCTTGACTAACATACGACAAAAAATAATTATAAGTTTGTGAACAAGACTCAAATAATTTAAATGTTGGATCTTTAAAACCAAGATTGTAGGAAACAAATAAAGAGTCCAAAACTTATCTTCCCAAAAGACGTTATCCACTCATTTTGGAGATAGTTCAATTGAATCTATTAACAGACTAAAAATATCTGAAAATTTCAAGATTTCCCTATTTGAATTTTCTGGTGAATCTTAATTCTTAAATGGGGAGTTCTACAATAACAAAATATCCATAGAAATTCCTCTATCGCATCATAAAATATTTCAGCTTAACATCTTTAACAAAATATTTCAATAACAAATCATAATTATATCTTCTTCCCTTCTTTCATTTATTCAGTTTCTCACTGAAAACAAGTAGCATCTGATGCATTTTTTACATCTTTCCACACTATCAAAATGGAATAGCCCCTTACTGATGGGGGGGGGTATTGACAGGGCGTGACGGTCGTGCTAAGAGACGGACAAGTAGATGCTGGAAAGATGTTAAAAGAAAAGAAAATTTATTTTTGATGTCAACTTATTTCAAATTGGTTGTTTCTTAAGGACATTATTGCATGATGTAAATGTAATCTGAAATTCTTTGATTGTTTATTAGACCATTTTTATATAATCAAATTTTCCCCAGTTTAGGAGAGGAATGTGTCAGAAGATCATATGCTAATAAATATAGTAAATGGTTCAAACTATAGTTGATTGGATACAAGATACAGTTGGTTTCACTAAATACTTAGGGATAAATAATTAATCAACACTGTAAATATGATTAACCCATAGTCAAAATATTTGTTGTGTGTGTGTGTGTATATATATATATATATATATATATATATATATATATATATATATATATATATATATGTGTGTGTGTGTGTGTATTTGAGCAGCAAATCCATCTTTTTACACAAGTTTCATTAAAAACAACTGACAAGGAACTAAAGTCACATTTTTTTTTATTTAATATTTTGTTCATTTTTAGTTATTTGTCATAAAACGGGTTTTTCTGAATGCTGTAGTGAACTTTCCCTGTTGGCTAAAGAGTCATGTAATTTACAAGTAACACTATAACATTCAGAAAAATATGTTTTACAACAAACAACTAAAAAAAGTAAATAAAAAAAAAAAATCTTAACTGCAGTTTCCTGTCAGTCATTTTTAACACACACACACACATATATATATATATATATATATATATAAAAAATAAATAATAGTAGTAGATGGGTTTGACTATTGTCCAGTTCACTCCTTCCCTGTCTTTTAAATAGGAGTAGAGGCTTACCCTTTGTTTCCTTTTTAGGATTGGGTTTCCAGTTCCTTCTAAATTATACTTCAACTCTGTACTTCTAATGCTTGTCCTTTCCTACACTAATATAACTCCACACAGTAGCCCCTACCTTGAGTGATTCTTGGGCCATGTATTGAGTGAATATTATTAAAAAATAATATTTTTTATATATATATATATATATATATATTAGTAGTAGTGAGGAAAAAAAAATTTTATTCAGTTCTTCTCTATTTTAATGCCATATATAATATTATCTGCACTTGGTGATAAGGGCATCTCTTATTTTATTTTTACGCTGGAGTTGTGTACAGTTTTCAGTTCAATATTTCAACTAGCTGGAAAACATTTATATATATATATATATATATATATATATATATATAAAAAACAATATCTAAAAATCAAAATAATAAATAAATAAAATGTACAGATTAAATTTCATGAAAAATTGCACAGTATTTTGGGAGATTCCTGTAAGAGACGGAATTTAATGTTATGTTCACTTCCTGCAGAGAGAGAACAAAAAGAACAAATCAATGAAACTTCAGTAACAGTAAAAAAAGCAAGAAAGTTTTAAATGACCAAAAGCAGAAAGTCGTCTAAGTGAGATTATTCTAGAGAACAAGAGAATTCAGAATTAGAGAAGCAGAAACACTGAACATGCTAAGGTCTGTAATATGGAAAGGGAAAAAAAAAATAGTCTAGCTAGGAAAAAGAGAGAAAGAGAGAGCAGAAAATATGGAAAAGTAAACTTACCACATATTTTTCTCCATTGTTATCAACTGTCTGGTAGTCAGGTATGGAGATAGGAAGTGAACGGCGTTCAGAATAGTCAATGAGGGAAGGACCTGAAGAATCATCACTTGGCTCTAACCTTTCAGCAACCCGTTCAGGAACAGAGATCACTAGATGACAAGCAGAAAAACATAATACTCAGTACTCTAGAAAAAGAAAATAAAATATTGTGTGTGTGTGTGTGTGTGTGTGTGTGTAATAGATAATCAATACAAAGTGAAATATTGATTTTTTTCCCCATAAATCTCTAAGTATTAAATCAAGTTCTCTTCAGTGAGAGTTTCTCAAAATATGATTGAGGCAAAATCAAGATGATTTTGTCTTTTTTAGACTTCTGCTTAATATATATATATAAAAAAAAGAAAGGGAATAGATTTTTTATTTATTAATCTGACAGATTTTTATATATATATATATATACACTACTTTCTGAATGACAAAAAAGAAATTTTCTTTGATTTTTCTAGGCAATATAAAAGTTAAAAGTTATATGATATATGAAAGAAATGCAAATCGCTTAGCATAGACTTTACTCTTCAAAAGTAATCAGAACAATTGAAAAGTTCAATCAGTGCCAGAAATAAAAACTGCCAAAGTTTTATTTACAACTGTAAATTATTCTTTAAGTGAGATTTGAAAAATCAATAGTTAGAAACTTGATGTTAAATTTTACTACAAAGCAGATGACATTTAACAATTTCTAATATAAACTAGATAAAATGCCAACATATTTGTTTCTATGAAACTAAAATAACAGCAAAAAGAAAATAATGTTAAAGATCATAACCAAACATCTTTTTACATTATTCTTCAATAAATGAAACACATAAGAATTATGGTAACTGATCTACTTTGCCAGTCATATGAAAATTCTTTCTAAGAAAATGACACTGTTTTATATTTATAACATAAATACTGTAATTTATACTCTGATGAACATAATCACTAATTCAACAAATTCTTAATGACATCTAAACAATTACAAAAAAAAAAAAAAAAAAAAAAAGAAATTGATTCATGGTCATAAAATTATAAATTTTTCTTTCCATGAGCATCATATTTTAAAATGTAACAAAGCTAAAAAAATATAACTTTAGAACAAACAGAAGAAATACCTACAAAACTATTTCAAATAAATATTAAAACAAATATTATCCATATATATTATAATTAATTTCATTTAAAATGATGAAATTTCTTTTTCAAATATTAAAAAAGATATTAAGTTAAAATATGATATTACTTCAAATAATTACTCATAATCCATATCAAAAACTTTTTATTCAATTCAATTACAATATGAATATAAACAAAAGTCAAAACAAAGCTATAGTTAGATATGAATTTACTACAAATTTCTTTCAGTATATTGCTCCATTCTTCAAATAAAAATCACTCTCAATCTACTAAATTTGAAGGTTGTCTTGAATGAACCTTATGCTGAGCTTGTGTGTCAAGACAATGTTTTACCAGTGCATGTAGAAAAGTGAAATATAAAAAAATTAAAAAGAAGTAAATTCATTCCAATTTTCAGGGACGGGGAACCATGAAAAATGTGTACTGTGATAAATATCACAGTACACATTTTTCATGGATCCCCATCCCTGACTGATTTTAGACAAGTGGGGGTGCAAGGGATAAACTGTTGCCATTTCATATTTTTAAATTGCATGCACATACACTGTTTTTTGTGAACTGTACAGTATGGAAGGGTCAGTTGGGAATCATATGTGAGAAAAAGAGCAACATGATGCAATTCACTCTGCCAGAACTTTGGAAATGGCATGCTGTACTGCTTGGCATTTGTGCTGGAAGCTCCAATACAAACATTTCAGAGTGTTTGGCTGTCAATCTCAGAACAGTGCAGAGAATTTGGAAAGAGTTGAATGAATCTGATGGCAATGAAGATCTATGGCAGCTCACAAAACTCACTCTGATAGTTCTGATGAGAAAACAACTCATGAATTTGTTGTTGAGATCCAGTCCTTGATTGGCAATAATTCCTCCAAGTCAATCAGGTCCATAGCCAGGAATACAGGAGGGTGTCTGAATTGCATAACAGGCAGGTAGTGCATGAAGACATTCAGTATTTATCATACAAGCCATAAGCAACAAGAGAAAAGACTGTGCTACAAAGCTTTTGATATAACTCAAGCATCCCTTCCAACCGATCATGCTTTGAGATTATATATATATTATACCATAAGCTCTTCACGTGAGCTGGAATGAAGGCTAAGCCTAAGAAAAGCCAGAACTTATTACTCTGGAGTTTTGTCAGGGAGATTCTCTTCTGCATTTAGGGACATGATCCCCGATTGTCAAATCGAAGCCAGTCAAGAGCCTTGCACAGCTGTATGAAATTCCACTGACTGATCGACACCGAGGTAAAACGCTGCAGAAAATGGCACTAGATGAACTTGAATCCATTGACCAAACCCATCTCTCCAGCAAACTGAATGCTTGGTGCTACCTCCATGTTTTGCTACCCCATCTTCTGTGGCCATTACAGGTATATTTATATAACTGTCACACATTCAGCAGTGTATCAATAAGTATCTGAGTAAGTGGCTTAGAGTTACACCCCCCCCTGCTTCTGTATGGTGGTACTCATGCTGGAAACCTGCAACTTCCCATCTCCTCATTGGTGGAAGAGTTCAAGGTCGGGAAGGTATGCATCATCACATCATAAAGACTCAGCCAATGAGTTCATCTGCAGGTTATGGCAAGTTTCCAAAAATTCAAGTCATGCCTCTTAATGAACAGTTACTAAGTCATTGAAGGTGTCCAAATGACTCAATGGAATAAGGGATCTAATATAACTAATCTGAAATAGATTCAGTTGTTATTCATTCAAGAGACAAGTTTTTGCATACTTGCTAATCTCTTAAGGCTATCATGTATAACCGATTTCTCCAATGTTCAATATTGGATATAACAAATGATGTGTAGATCTGTTAAGAAAAGCCAGACAAGCTCTCATGTAGATTTTTCTGCTTTCATATCAGTTCTATTTTATTCATTGATTGTCTGTCAAATCAAGCATCAAGTTTGTTGTGTAATCGTCCAAAGTTGCACACTGTCAGGTTGTATGATGACTACAGTCAATCATACATCACATACACACACTAAATGCCTAAACTGCAATAACACATCAATGATTCAACTTGCTTCTTATATTTAACCAACTGACAGCTGCTTTACAAGAGAAATAATCAAAAGTAAAGGTTCAATTGGTGACTTATACATTCAACTAGTAGTTTTTTTCTACAAATAACCAAAACCAAGTACGACAAGAGAGTCAAATCAATAATGATTTGAATTATATAATTATTACCGATTAATTGATGCATTTATATTATTTAAATTAACAAATTCTCAAAATATCATGTTAAGAATAGGTGAAAACAGTAATAAATGTCTATTTTATCTTGGATTTTTTTTTTCTTTCTTTCAAACAAATCAATGACTATACACCACCACAATCTTAACTTAAAAACTGCTTTTCAAAATTTAAGCGTATTTAACATTGTATTCATCTATTTGGATTAATACTTGAAAAGCACTTGAAGATCAAAAATCTATTAAAAAGATCTTTGATAAATTCTAATAAACAAATTTTCATAAAATATACTGTATAAGGACCTCAAATCAAATTAAAAATTCTTCATTTTGTTAAACAGATGACCTTAATAAAATGCCTGAAGTAGAAATGGAAATTTAAAAGGGATTCAAACTCCACATTTTATAGAACTATTAATGAAAATAAAATTTCAAAAGCAACATTCATTTTATTTTTATTCCCTTTTCCAACACTATTCAAGAAATATTCAGTTTTAAACCTAAATAAATAACCAATTTTTTCAAGCCAAGAGAGGAATTCCAATCATAAAAGATGAACACAATCCCCAATGCTCAGAGAAGCAAATCATTTTCTGGAATAAACACATCAACATTCTATTCACATTAAGTCTTTTTCCAACAACAGCACATGCTCACAGAGAATTTTATTTCCCCTATGACTGGAAAACCTGATTAAAAAGAAAAATATCTCCAATTCCCTAAAATCATCAGATTTCTAAAACACAAAATCCATTTTGATTTTATGATCTAATTTTATCATTTCCTGATAATCCTTAAGATGTCCACTGGGACTGGACTGAGGCAAAATATCCTTACTTAAAGCAATCATGCATAATCATTGCTTCTTTTATTATTATTATGTACTTTTTTTTTCTTTTCTTAAATCAAACACAATTCACAGTCTCTGACAAGAAACTACAATTTTACAAGTATTTGAATTAGAAGGATACATAATCATTAAAAACAGAGAATTATGAAAAGTATCTTAAATTATTTTTCTATCCCGATATTTTTCAGTCAAAATCTCACTTTTTACAAACCTATAATCCAATGCAGATAGAGATTCCGCAATGAGATTTTCATTTCACTAATGCAGAATTGAAAATAATATCAAAAGAATTTGTCTTTCACAACATCCGTACTTGATAATACCCATTCATATTATCACTCAAATTGCATATTTTATTTTCAGCATTAGGAAACATTCTGTGTCTAAACAAATCCATAATGGATGCAGCTTAGATGTGATATTTGCCAAACAGACTTCTCTTGTGGAAGAAGACTAGTTTTATCAAAGTCTTATCAAGGAAGCATTTTATAGGCAAACATTTTTGACTAAGACATAATTCCTGATTATATTCTTATTGATTGGGTCATTCTAAAAAAGATTTTCTGATTACTGATGGATTCCATATTTCTTGTAAAACTCCATTTCAGAACATTCAAATGCCTCATCCAGCTTGTGAAATTTCTGATTGTTATGACAAGGCAAAAAATTCTTGGCTGGCATTAAAAGAAATAAAATTGCAAGTTGGTGATTAGAGAAAAATTAAGGTCAAAGCTAGAAGAAAAGTTCAATAGAATTGACCAGCCATATTGTGATTGTAAAAAGTTAAAAAAAAAAAAATGATTATGAAAATCATCAAGAATGAAAGTGATGACAAGTTCTAAGACAATCTTCTTAGAATTGCTGTTGTACACGAATATCTGGGGTAATATAAACTAAGGCTTCTTTCAAATATGACATCAT